CTCCTGCTATGTTGCCTAATTTCGAAAACAAACGCAAGAGCGCCAGAAAATGCACTAGAGACACATAAGACCAGTCGGAAGGCATCGCAAAAAAAACAAGTCCAAAATTCTGGCACAGGGCAGCAGTAGAGACCGCTCAAAACGTGCTTTTCGCGCGTCTACCTCCACACGCATCTTTTANTCGCCGCCTCTGAACCCAATCTTCTGAACTGCAGGTTTACAGCAGTAGCTGATGCCACCAGCTACTGCTGACAACCCGCAGTTGAGGGGTTTGCGGTCCGTGGTGGTGAGCACCGCTGTGACAAGTGTTGGGTTCCGCTTGGTTCCGGCGCAGATTTCGGACCGTTTTCAGAGGCTGCTGCGACCTTCGATATTTCAGCCCCAGTAGTATACCTGAACGTGCCAGCACGCACGACGCCTCTTGATGATATCCTCTACTGATACTAGCACAACGGACCAGGTTCCTCCGGCGGGAAGGTTGTTTTCTTTCTTTGTACTGTTATAAAGTATGAGAAAGAGCGAGCGTCAAAATCCCTTGTCTGGGTACCCTAAATGGATCCATTTGTGTAAACATTTTTGACCCTCCTGGCGCAGGACTCCTTGCTGCCTGCCTATCAGACAACGTGTGATTGATTCATTGCTTGCTCTGGGCTCGCTCTACAGCAGTAGTTGTTCTGAGGAATGTCGACATACCTCTCAGGTTAGACATGTGGCGTGGGATGGGGTTTCACTTGTTTCGTTTTTTTTGCAAGTTTGAATGTTCAATTTTGAATGCTTCATGCTTCGAAGTCCTTGACTCCCAGGCTCCAAGGTTTTACTCCAAGTTCTCAAGTATTTTTTTCGAAGAAACGCCCACATCTTGTGGGGATCCATCCCACCACTCGACCGTCGGTCCCAAACTATGTACCGGCGTCATCCGCCTCACACAAGCAGCCTTCCCGTGAGCACGGCTACATGGCGGTTGTAATCGGCGAGCGCTTTGGTCGGCCGCGCCTTTCGAAGAACAGCAGTTTTCCTCTGCCCGTCGGCAACCGCACACCATATCATACCTACCGATGCCCGTGGCTAGTTTATTTTCATGGCCTTGGGTTGGATACACACGGCTCTAGCCATGCGCGAGCGGGCGGTAGTGTCACTGAACAGCGACTGAGCTTCCCGACGAATCTTGTCCGTGTGATCCGAGCTCGTCATGCACGGTTTCCCGTCGAACGATGCCCCAATTCGGGAGCTACAGTACGTGCCTCACACCAGGCGACATTCTCTTAAAGAGATCTTCTAACCGGCTGCTAGCAGCGTGGTGGATACCAGCAATATCGACCCTCATGTCTGCAGAGCTCAACATTGCCGTGTGCCGGACGCCAGGCCAAGAGTATTGGCGTCTCCTTAGCCTCTCACGAAAATAACACATCGACGGCTTGCTTGTCACGCGCGGACGCTTACCATGTATGACACAAGACAACACACCCCCTCGACCAATTTTCAAAGCTCGATTACGCCACGACAAAGAGGATGCATATATGAAACAACACGTTTTCGGAAAGCTCTCGACGAGGCGGCTTCAACGCCACCGTTTTCGGCGCTGTGGCTCAATCTGCTGTTGAGAATTCGGGATTTGAAAATCGGTCCAGGGGGGTGTGCTATCTTGTGTCATGTACGGTACATTGATAATCTTCCACCCTCGTTGTTTTGTCACGTGCCGGAGTAGACATTTACTCCTGCTGTTCACGCTGCAAGGGGTTGCGTGGATCGCTCGTTCCTTTCCTCTTTCAAGCTACCCAGTAATTTCTTCACAACAAGCTTTACTGCTGTACGTTTTTCATCACCCTGTATCACAGGTGCGGGGCAACGTACACACATGTAGAGTCGAGACCGGGTAACGGGGGGTCGGGCACGTCGGGCATGCTGCACCACCTCTTCAAGAAGCACCCGCTCATCCACGCCGAGATCATCAGGGCCAACTCGTCCTCCAAGATGCGGAAGGCAGAAGGTGAAGGACCGCGTGCACATTTAGCTTTTTGTCAAGTTTCAATTGAAGTGGAGTTTCTTGGATGGCTTCCCCAAACAATTGAAAATTTTCGAATTCCCGAAACGAAAACAAAATGCACCCTACCTATTGTCACGTCGGGGGGGATGTAAGGGTCGAGGAATGTTGTCATTGCAGGGGTCGCCCGTGCACAGCGATTCCACCTGTTCTCGCACCCGCCCGTGTTTGGCGATGTGTCTTTTCACAAACCCCCTGTTGGTTAGATTCTACCCATTTGCTTGCTAATTTATCCGGCGACACCAGCGACATCCAGTGCTGCAATTCCGGCTCACCACGTGGACCTGACCTGTTGGTGCCCCCTCCGCCCATCTTACACGTGACCCGCTCTGTGGACACACTCCCGCGCAGGTGCGGTAGTCAAACAGTCCGCCGCGAGCAGCAGCGGCAGCGGCAGCGGCAGCGGAGGCGGCAGCAAAGAACCGCCACAACCTCATCACCCCTCGTCGTTGCGCTCGGCATTGGCTCAGCTGAGGGCTTGCTCGCTCGCCGGCGGCGGCGGCGGCGGCGGCAGCGCGCTCCCTTCGCCGCCCATGTCCGCGGAGGACTGCCTGCCACACGACCGGCGGTTCGTGCTCATGTGCGCGCTCCAGACGCTGGACCCGGGCTCCCTGTGCTCGAACCTCGGGCACAGGCTGTTCGTTGACGGGCTGGCCCCCGGCTACGGGGCCGGCCGCCGTCTGGCCCGCCGCCGCAACGGCCTCGCTCCAAGCGGAAGCAGCTACGCCGCCTCCACTGCTGTCACCGAGGGAGCAAACGGCGCAGGCGGCACAGCCAACGCCATCCTGCAGGACCTGTGCACGGGCGTGAGACGAGAGGTGGCGTCGGCGCTGAGGGCCCACAGCGCTTCGTGCCGGCTGTTGGGGTGGTCTGGGCCGTTCGTTGGCCTGCAGGTGGACTCGACGGGCGTGCCGGGGGGAGAGGGCGGCGGCGGCGGCGGCGGCAGCGGGGAAGAGGTTTGCACGGCGTCCGTTTCCTTCGTGTCGGAGGACTTCGGGGGCCTTGTGAGTCTCGCGATCGGGGCGAGGTGCTTCCGAGGGAAGCAGACGTTGCACGCCAAGGAGGCGTGGATTCGAGAGGTGACTTTTTTGTTTGTAGGGAGGGGAGGACAAATGTAGGGAAATGTTGATACTTCGTATTAGGTCATGAAAGGGAGGTTCGTGAGTCGAACGCTAACGTACCAGGGTGTGTAGGTTGGTGTGTGCGCGACCCTCAAGCTCCTCCGCCTCTGCTACGCTCCCCGGCTTGTCTCACACGCGCCACGCCAACGGTTCTTGGTAAAACACAAATCGCCCCGGTTTGCTGCCGCCGCCGCTGCTGCTGCTGCTGCTTTTGTCTCAGCTGACGGCGGACCTCTTCACGAGCATCTGCCACAAGTCCGAACCGAAAGACATCTACCTCGCCGCTACCGTCGGGGGTTGCTCCGGCGGCGGCAGCAGCATCTTCGGGCGTGCCTTCCAGGACATGGGTGTCCCCGTCCTCGTATGCTCGAGCTACCGGCTACACTCGGCCGTGTCCTGCTCTCTGGGCTGCGCCACCGCCGCGGGCGGCAGCGAAGACAAGCGCGCGAACGCCAAGATGAGGGACGTCGTGCGGCGGGCGGTGTCGATGGTGGAGGTCTTCGAGCACTGGCGGCCCGAGGGAGGCGTTTTCGCGGCGGCCACCGCCGCTGCCGCTGGTTCGGCTTACGGTTCAGCAACCACGCTTGAGACCGTGCGTGTGGAGGTGGAGGAGCTGGCCGCTGCGCTGGCACGGGCTCGAGGGAGCAACACAAGGCGAGTTGTAGTTGACTGCGCCGAGGTTTCAGCAATGCGTGTGTGGGAGGTAGGTGTTGAAGCGATGCTGGGTGTCGGTAGCATGTGGCGGCGGACGGGGTTGGCGTTTGCTGCGTATTTGCGAGATGGTGGTACTGAACCAAGCTTACTTGCTGCGCAGATCCAACAATGAAAGAAGAAGCAAGTAGGTCGTTTGGATGTGGTTGTCGCCGGCTGTGTGCAGCACTGACGTAAGAAAAAGAGTCCGAAAGAGAGCCCTTGCTTTCTGTTTTTTTTTTTATTTGGCCGTGAGTCGACCGCCTGGGAAGACAGGAAGGGACGATGCACTAAGCCAAACATGCACCTCATTCTAGGTACGTCGCAGATCTAGCTGCGCTCTGTGACTCCACCCACCACGTGCAGGTGCGCTATTTTCTGCTTGCACAGACAAGAGAGAAGAAACGACAAAGCAACAAAGCACCTGGCATCGCTGATAGTGTTTCAGAGTATCAGTGTATAGCCTTAAATTGAGCCGTTTTTTTTCTTGCCGTGAAGGCTTCAAAACATCCGTTTCGGCTCCTGGTTATACAATTGTATCTAGAACGGGTAGTCTTTCTGTGGTCGTATGCATATGTCGTAGCAAAGAACACTCCCCGACGACACCCGGAAACGCACGACTACAAATAACATCAGGTGGACAGATTTTCACGCGCTGTTCGAGCGTCTCCTTCAGCTGGCGGGCCCGCTGAATGCCCACTTCCGGCAGGCACCCACCGACCGCTCCCTTCAGCCCTCGGAGTGGCAGGCCATCCGTGAGGCTACCAGCATCTTGGAACCCGCCCTTGAGGTGCTCGCAAAGGTCCACGCGAGGGACGAGTTGGAGGGGGAGGTGGAGGGGGAGGAGGAACGCCGAGCAGCGGAAGGAGTCGGCACGTCAGCGGCGGCGGCGGCCTGCAACGGCGGCGACAGAGGGGCGACCGGGGCGGCGTCCAGGGACAAGAAGACGAAACCGAGAGGGGTTTTTCTGGCGGAGTCCATCGAGCTTCACGCCAACCTTCACTGCTCGTTCATCTACCCCTTGCAGGATATCAGAGGAGATACGTTGGCGACGGTGGCAACGGGGGAAGGAGTGGCGGCAGCACCCGCGATGATTGCCGCCGGCGCCGGCGCCGCGCCGTTCTGCTCCAAGCGGGTAGCAGAGCTGACGCCAGAGGCTCAGGCCCTGCTCGAGGCGGTCGCCCAGGGCATGGAGGAGAGTGGCCTCGGGCGAGCCCGCGAGGACATTGAGGCGGTGTCGATGCTCCTGGACCCGCGGTTCAAACAGTGCTGCGCGAGCACGTGCGTCGATGGGGGCAGCGCGCTCAAGCTCCGCGCCCTCAAGGCGGTCTCGTCCCAGCTGAGGAAGTTCAGGGACCCGGCGAGCGAGGCGGGCGGGGGGCAGGGAGGAGCAGGGGATGGCGGCGGCAGTGCAGCCGCCGCTCGGCAAGAGCCCGGCGCGGCGGCGGCGGCGGCGGCGGCGGCGGCGGCGGCGGCGGGGGCAGCGGTTAGCAGGCTGGACAAGATGAGGCAGGCGCAGAAGATGGAGGCAGCGGCGGCCGGAGCGGCGGGGGCGGCGGGGAGACCGGCGTCGTCGCCGGGGGAAAACGGAGCCCGCGGAGCCGGCGGCGGGGGCGGCGGCGGCGGGGCCCCCGGCGAGGTGGATGACCGGCTGTCCGAGGACGCCCGCGCCGAGCTGGAGGAGTACCTGCTGGAGCCCGCCTCGAAGCGGCACGAACTCTTGTCGTACTGGAAGCTCCACGGGACGGACACCTTCGACTCCGGTACCGGCGAGGTTGTGCTGGCCGCCCGGTGGCCGCACCTGGCCCTGGTCGCCAGGCTGTACGCCGGGATCGATTCGACTAGCCGGCAGGGGGACAGGCACTTCGGCGGAGGGAGCGGGGGCGGTGCCGAGCTCGGCGCTGCCGTGAGGTCGCTGCAGCGGGGCGGCATGCCGCCGTGGAGGATCGAGCAGATGCTTCTCATCCGGCTTAACCGGCACCTCGTGCCGGAGGTTGTCGATTTCCTTCGTGGTGGTGGTTAAACTCAAAGGTGACAGCTTTTTGCCGTGTAAGACCCGTGTTTGTAATCGACGAACACATGTATTGACATGTATGTGTGCTCTACGGAGCACAGAGGCCGGCCGGCAAAAGATGTATGCGTGCGGGCTTACTTTAGCGATCCCTCTCGAAGTGTATCGAGTTACGTTCTGAAATTCTTCAAACGTAGTATAGAATTGGTGTTGTTTTTGAGCATGGTAGGCGTTTCGTCGAAGGTTGGTCTATTCCGCGACGAGTAGGTTTTGCGTTTCCTGACTGCAAGCGACCTTGGTGTCTTGGTTGGCACGATGCGGTCGTGCGCTGGCTTCTACGTCGGTGCTCATGCGGAGCGCGGGTTATGCGCCCATTTTGCTGCTGTGCTGTGGATATCTCGAGAATACTGCTTGCAAGAGTCTCATGTCTAGACTATATAGATTGCCGTGGGCCGCGGCTGCTGCTTTATAGAGCAGTCTTTTTTTAACCGCAGGAGTAACCCCAATCTGCAATTGGGGGGGTTGTCGAAGCAGCAATGCTTGTAAGAGGTTGCGTCTATGGTGAGAGAAGAGCGCGTGGGATGCAGACGAGAATATCTCGCGTGCAGCAGGCCTCTTGACAACCCGAGTTATAAGAGAGTCAGGGCACTTTTCCGTCAATCAAACTGCGATCCGTAGCGGCGCGCGCTGCTCGACAAGCATCAGCGGACGGAACGGCGAAACTTGTAACGCTATTCACTATATCCGACCAAAGCAGTGGTGGGCCCTTTTTAGTAGTGCAGGTGTCCGATGTATTCGGCTGGAACAGGGCTGAATCGCCAAGTGATTCTGCACTTTGAATGGTGCCGGGGTCCGACAAAGTGCCGGTCAATTCTCTGGGCACATACCGCCACCAAACCCCCCCCCCCCCCCCCCCCCCCCCCCCCCCCCC